AAGCATTGAGAAAGCATTTGAATGCACACGCTGCTCTTGCCGAGCATGCGCATTTCGCTCCACTCGGGAGCTGATGTCGGCGGGGGAGGAGAGGTCACCAGCGCTGAGGGAGTCCGGCGCTGGATTAAGTTAAGCTGCTGAAGGGGTTTTAACCTCTTCAGCACCACGGGAGGGGAACCCAGAGGGTGGGGGCACCCTTAGGGCACTATAGTGTCAGAAAAACAGGTTTGTTTTCCTGACACTATAGTGATCCTTTAATGTGCTGAAGACAACTCGATATGGCTCAATATCCTGCTGTCATACCTGGTGTCCCGCGCGGTCCCGGTCCCGCCGTCCTTCCTCTCGTGTCGGGCGGTGTGGATCGCTGGCGCGTGCATCTGGAGAGCGCCCGGGGACGTGCGCGCGTGCACAAGGTAACGGGCAGGGGTGACGTGGACTCCAAATTTAAAGAGATAGTGGCCTATTGCCACTATCTATTTATACCTCCTTCAATTCTGTCCCTGCCTTTCAGTATTCACCTTGCCTTATATTAACCTCCTTCTGACATCACTTATAGCCCGAGAGTGCGTTCTGAGTAGTTGTCTTTGGTTCCTGACTTTGGCTTGTTTATTGGTTATTCTCATTTCTGGCTCCCTGACCTTGGCTCTGTCTATTTCGCTTTCCCGTATCTCTGTATTCCTGACCTTGGCGTGTTTGACTATTCTTATGTCTCGTTCCTACGTTAAGTCCGGCCACTTTAAGGTCCGGTAATACGTCTATCTGTGTTCGCCTTTATTGTTCTCTGGTTTGCGTGTTGGAGAGTATTAACCTTGACACCTGCACTATAATATTTTGTTGTCTATTATTTTAATAGCTGAAACAATAAACCCATATTAAACTCAACATTCTATATGTACTCTGTAGACATCGAATACTTGATATCTCCATGTGGCTGTGAATAACATATATTAGTTTGAAACCCCTGCATCTGTACGCTGTCATCTTTCAAAATTGCAACAATGAGCTGCAGCTGGAAGTGCATGCGAGTTGCTTGGCGGCTTTAGAACACTCACAGTTTACAGTGTATTCTATATTATCCTATTAATACCAAGTATATTAGACATGTTGCTCAGTTGGAACCTTTCTTAAAGAACACTATAGTGTCAGGAATACAAACATGTATTTCTATCACTATAGTGTTAAACTAACTAACTAGGTGTCAACCCCCCACCGTGGAGTTAAAAGGTAGTTTACTCACCTTGTCACCATTGCCGCGACTTGCCCCACCACCGTAGCTGACATCATCAATCTTGATTCAAGCCAATCCTATATTTTCCCATATAGAAAACATTGGGAGGCTATTGTGGATGCGCTGTCGAATGTCATACTACACCAACCAGCATCAAATCATTGCATCTCTATGAGCAGCGTTTAGCGCAGGGTCTGCATGTAGAGCGTGGAGAAGCTGAACTAAAGTGCCGCACATAGTACATCAGAGAAATAGGAAGCATCGAACTCCCGAAAGGTCGAAGTGGTTCGAATCAGCATTCGAACACGTGGCAGTGGCCATCTTAAGCTGCGAGTACAATGAGCAGTGTTTGGTCGTCAAGTTCACGGAACTCAAATTGGACACGCGACCACATGAACACAGCTAAATATTTAAAAGAAGAAAAGGAAGGAGGCCGCGCCCCCAGTGATAATTTTTTTTACAAGTATACGTACACTGAAAACTTTTTTAAGTGGTACACAATCACCCTCCGAGATAAAAAAAACAAAGACGGACTACAATAGTGCAATATGTTATGATAAATGAGTGTAATTCTAAAGTAATTAAATCAGTGTACACTCACATTTGATAGAGCTAACTAGGAGCTCTAGCGAGATTCGGATATATGCAGGAGTGGGTGTCACCCAACGCTCCAGTTATCGGTGTGATATGTAATCGATAAAAACACAAAGAGAGGCTCCAATGGTGTAGTGTATACTGAAAATTAAAAGAAATTAAAAATAAGATGTAGTACTCACATTTACTAGAGCAGAAACTTGCTCTAGTATAATCTGCTTGGGTGGTATGATCCCCAGCTAAGGATATGATGACCAGGAAGTAAAAAATAAAAAATAATAAAAATTAAATAGGTATGTAGCTTTAAAAATACACTTTATTAAACAAAATGGATAAAAAAGCAAAATAGTTATTGCAGAGTCCCACTTGACGCGTTTCGCCTATCATAGGCTTCTTCAGAAGTGTGGGAGAGGTCCTTAAATGTGTCCCTTATATAGGTAGTTCTATTTTGTCAAAATACTTCCTTTTGAGTCCAATTTCCTGTTACCACGTATGGAACGCACGTGTCACACCGGAAGTGACGCGCCGTTCGTCTATGTGGTGATATCATGCGTTCCACCTTGGAACGCATACGGCGCCATTTTCAAGCCACTGCATTCCTATTGGCTAGTGCCGTGCTACGTATAGCATTTGGAAGAATCTGTCCATGGTTACCATATGAGTCCATATCGGATGCATTGTCAAAATATTCTTCGTTATTGTATATAAGTGTATCTATGCGACGTCCCGGAAAAGTGACGTCACGTATCTGTTCAACCGCTAAATATTTACCTTCCATGGATGTTTGGCTATTCGAACGGGAGTCGAACGGCATTCGGTAAGAATAAACTCCCGAACAACAGACATACACTGACTTTACTCACGAACGGCTACGTTTTGTATTTTGAGCTTTATTTCTAATTCCCGAAATAGACCAACCGCACAGCCTGATTCTTTGGAACTGTTTTGGGGCATGAGACCATAAGTGCGGTAAGTCAAAACGTGGCTTCCATAGAATTCCTGAACTCTTGAACTGATCTGGGTGATTTTTGGATATGTTGGTCACCCAGATCAGGGGATGTGACATTTGTGGAGATATTATGTGTTTTGGGGTACTTTTGGGACTTTATAGAAATGTATGGTTTTTCTGCCTGGAGATAATTAGGTTAATACAATATCTGACTCAATTATCTCCCAGGCAGAGGGGAGGGATTGTATGCTATGTGAGGGAGTGTCATGCACTGTTCTTTATGGTCTGTGAATATTGTAACTCAGTTCCCCACAAGGTCCATGTGGGCATAACCCTTGCATTGGGATTGTCATATAAGGCCAAGTGTGGCACCATTAAAATCAGTTCCTCTTCACCCTCAACATAGAGCCTCATCTCATGTGTGGAGGGGACAGCTATATTCACTCTGGGGATTGCTATACTCATTATACTCCCGTGGATTATAATCACTAGCTCTTATAAGAGCTGTTCCTGCTATACTCTCTGGAGTAGGAGAGGTTTGCCCACTTGAAGATGGATGGGTGCAGAGTGGGCGGAGGACGGCAAGACCCCAACCAAGCTGAGGATGTTTGTGGGGTCTACGGTGCTGATGGTGTCTGGTGAAGTGCATGGAGTCCTCGGTGAGCACTATGAGCATTGATTGATGGAGGCACGTGGTTGGGGTGCCAGGTGGTCCGTCACAGGTGTTACTAGGCAGCAATGTACACACTGCATTTTCTCTGAAAAGGGAACATTTACATTAAAAAGCCTGCAGGGGCATGCTATATACACCAGGACCACTACATTAAGCTGTAGTGATTCTGGTGGCTATAGTGTCCTTTTAACTGAAAACACAACTCTAATTTAAACATGTATCTCTTTACAGACTGACGAATTGTCGCTAGATCAAGACTGAAGTATATAACTTCCGATGGACAGTAGTTACATCCAACATTCCCCTAATCCATGTGTATCCAGTACACATTGATACTCTGCCTATTGCAAAACAAGGCTAAAAATAACAGAAACAGGAATGGGGGAAAAAAAATTACAAATCTTTTCAGAATATAAAATGTTTGTTTTTACTACTTTGATAACACGAAAGCGATCTTCCAGCAAGTGAGAGTTTTATTGATATCATGAATACCAATTCAAGGCTTCTATTTCCTCTACAAAATAATTTGGCTTTTTCCTGCTCTCGCCTTGACCTAAAGTATACAGCGTTTTCTCGGCTTAAGTACAAAGAAAATGCAGGCAAATATAAATAACTTCAGCGGAGGTGAATGTCTATTCCCACTGTGTCCTACAGATAGCGTCATGTGGAGGGGAAATTGTTCTATCAGAGGCTACGTTAGATTCATGACCCAACCACAACCTTGAATTGGCCTTTAGTTGTCGCTGATGGAAACTGAGGAACAGCTACTGTCGGTGTGATTGCTGCTCTCCAATGAATCAGAACACGCAGGGCACAGAGCAGCACATTAAACTGAAAACCAGAATATATCACTGTTCTTTTATAGAGATGTATTGCTCTTGTCTGGGCATATAAATGATAGGGCAATCCGCTTTTTTTTTTTCTACGCTTTTTTTTTTTTTCTCTCCCACGGTCTATAAATTAAAAATAAGCTAAGGGTTTTGAAATTATGTGGCCTTCCTTCTAACACTTAGATATATCATGGCACGGATAAAACATTTATAAGCAATTTTACTTGGGCAGGTTTTTGCTACTGTCCTCACAGCCTGACCAGAATACTTTGTTACTCATTTAATGTTGTGTTTCTCTATTTTACGGTTTTGTTAAATGTTAAGTATCGATTTGTGTTTTAGTTTTTTTGCGTTTTTTTTATTATTATTCTTATCCATAACAATGCAATTTACTTGCGTTTTTCAATTAAAAGACAAATAGTCACGCTGAGCCTTTCATTTTATGTCATGCTATTTCAACGTCGAATTGTAGATTACGGCATTAACCCTTTTTACACGTTTTGTTGTTCACCCAACATTCTAATACCTACCGGTCAGCGAAAGATATTTATCTGAGATATTAGACGATGAATTGTATTTTAAGCTTGTACAAGAAAAATTATACATTTATGAATTCTTGTTCTATAACTGATCCAGCTCATATTAATTTCTTTTTCAATGTCCCAACTGGGCTTATCCCCTGGAAGTATTGTTTCTTTCTTTTTTTTATGTTTCTTGTACAGGACTGAAAGCTAGATAGCTCTGTGCTAAATAATTCAAGAAGAATTTGACAGTTTCTATATTCCTCTTCGTGTTTCTTAATAATGATATACAGAGCCATTGCTGGTCAATCTCCACTTAAATAATTCTAGTTATGACCTCGGCTACCCTAACATACTCCGGTAATGGTAGCGATAACATTGTGCATCCGAATAATGTTATACCTACAACAGGAATGGATTTGACCCTGCCCTTCACAGTTTTCATTTAATTTCAAATCCTGGTCTACTGAAGATGTAGATCTTTGGCTGTTTAACAGCAATTCTCATGCAGAATATTTTTCACAATATGCCACTTATTAGATATGGAATAAAGTGATAATTAATTAAAGATCACGGTTACGAGTAATCTTCTATATGGAATTTATTGCACGTTACAGACAGATTAACAGATTATTTTACTCACCGTATCATTTAACTGCAAGTCATCATATTGAACCTGTTCCCAAAGAGATGGCGTTAACTTTATAGTTAAGTTAATTCTCAAATACTTTGTACAATTTCCCTGGGGAGAAGATTGCTTTCAAACGGAGAGCTTGTATTGTTTTCAGTACTCAATGTAGAGGCCTTTCAGTTTAGGATATAAACTCTTGAGAGGGCAAGATACATAAAAAAAGGTACTTGGTCTATCTACCCAACAGATGAAAGATTTTTTTAGGACAGGTATTCAAAGCTAAAACCAATGGTATGTTATTTTTTACGAGCAAAATTGCTAACATGAATATTTACAAGATTTTTCCATTCCATTGACAATTTGGTCTTAAATGACCGATTTTTTTTTAACGTCCATTACTTGGGGTTTATTGAATAACCCTATTTAAGAAGTGGCACACAGAAGTTGGAAAGTGGCCCCCACATTCTGTGTGGGAGTAAATCCCTACATTATTCTAGTGCTGGCATTTATAAAGAATCAGCCAAAATAACATTTCCCTAGAGACACGGTTTATAGTTCCACCTGTGGTTTATTACCAGTACCTTGAGCCATAATGGCTTCTTGTGTAGTAAACAAAAGTTATACAGCATCCAACTTTATTATTTGTCTTTGAATTGAAAAGTTAAATTTGCTGCCTCGATGGATGAGAAAGTGATTTATCTAAGCAAAGTACGTTTAGAAGTGTGATAGGAGGTATGGCGCCATATCTCCAAGCTGCCATTTTCTTGTTCCCACAGCAGCCGAGGGCACATTTACTGGCAATCCTCAGCAACATTAAGTCGTAAAAGAGATGGATTTTGCAAAGAAGAGAGGGCAGGGGAGAAGGAAAGAAGAAAACCTCTCTCTACTTGTAAAAGACAAACTCTGTGCAGAAGGCTCATTACGAATACAAAGAAAGTCAAGGGTTATAATGGCTAGGAAATGGATGGTGAAGGGCCTATTCACTAAACAACGAACAACAACGGTGGTGAATTCAAAATCATATTACAAAACCGAGGATGGATTTTTCAAGTTGGAAAAAGATCTGAATTACCAAACTTTCTTCCAGTTCTCGTTTTTATTTTTTTTGCCTAAAGTTGCTGTTTAGTGAATAAACCATTATAAAAATGAATTCTTTCAATATATTTTTTTTTTTTTGCCATGTGTCATCTTTATTGAAATATTTTCCATTTTCATGGAGGCATACAAATACAAGAAAATGTATTCAGTGGGGATTACAAACATATAATGTAAAAAACGTACAAATAATGTGACATATATGTGAAATAATGTGAGACATGAACAATATACAAATATATGCATACTGCAACTATACCTCATTTGGGATGGGTGTGGGTGTCCGAGTATTTGGAATCTGGTAATGATTTAGGCAGTTATACCTCTGAAGTGTATAAGGGAGCCAGTGCTGACTATATCCTATGCCACTGTTTTCACGTCTTTTGGAAGCGACTAAGGGCGTGGAGGCTGACATTGCTTCATATTTGTAAGTGGATGGTAATGACTCCATGACCATAGTTGTAATAAGGGATAATTTGTTTTTCCATAACCTCTCAATAAAGGATTTGGCAGCAAGCAAAATATGTAAGATCATCCACTTGGGAGCCCCGCTTAAGAGACTTTAGGAGCCTATAAACAGTATAGTATTCTTGGAGCAGGTGCAGGTGCAGGTAAAAAGCTAGTTCCACAATGGTTAAGGCTTTATGACCAAGAAGGTCATTTTATTTTTATTAAATGATTAGTCTGGCAATGGATAATAAATCTGCAAGTATATATGCTCCTAATAATACTCATACTAAACTTATATGCAGTACGTTGAGAAAATTAGGAACCTTTGCTGAAGGTTTGATATTGGTAGGAGGAGATCTCAACACGGTAATGGAACCTGAAAAGGATTCTTCTGATGGCAGATCTCACTTACCACATTCTAATATTGTCAGGGTTAAGATGACACTTTTTACCTTACAACTTGTTGACCTCTGGGGAGTAAATAACCAGACCAAAAATGTTACCTTATTTTTCCCAGTTACACCAAAAATATAGATCTGAATAGATTTGATGTTGATTTCTCACCATCACTTAGATTGTACTAAAAAACATATTTATAGGTAATATTACATGAAGTGATCAGGCTTCTGTTCTGGGAACCCTTAAATAAGAGACTGACTCTTATAAACATTTTAATTGGAAGTGAAATAATCATATTTTGATAATCTCAATGTAGAAGATATCAGAAATTGTATTAAATGTTATTTCTTAGAAAATAACTGGCATATTAAAAGGGTTAGTGATAAAGTAACAAGGTAGTAATAAGGGGACAACTAATTAAATTAGGAAACTATAAAACAAGGAAAGCGAGAAGGAGATGGAAGATGTCCTAACTGAACTGAGTACTTTAGAAAAGAAACACAAGGAAATAAGCTCCCCTGAAATCTTTAGTAAGCGAGAAATTTTAAGGTCTTGTTTAAATAAATTAATGACCCATAAAATGTTGAAATCTCAAATAAATCTCAAAATAAATCCTCAACTTTTTTGTACGCTAAAAAGCCAGGTAGACTTTTGTCACAGGAAATTCAAAAGCAACAAGTCAGAACTAATACATCTAGGATTAAGGATAAGAAAGGTAAATTTAATCATTCTGTTAAGGACATAACTGAGGTGTTCCAAATTTAATATAATGATTTATATAATCTTCGATCTAGAGGCGATGTGGGAGGCAAAAAATTTTTTTCGACAAAATGTCCCTTTACTTAAAAGATACATTCCTTACTGTTATTTCAGAAGAACAGAGAAAGATATTGGGCAGCCCAGTTACCGAAGAAAATGTGAAACAAAACTTTTATCCACACCATTTGGTAAAAGTCCCAGTACGGATGCATTTACAATAAATTATTATAGAACCTTTATATCAGAATTCACTCTACCATTGGCAGATATGATCAATTTGTTTTGTAGAAGGGATTTTTGAGCCAAATCTTACTGGAAGCTATAATTATTTCAATACTGAAAGAAGGGGAAAATAGAGATAAGTGCGAAGGTTATAGATCAATCTCCCTTCTTAACTCAGATTTAAACATGTTCACAAAAATTCTAGCATTTATTTTAAAATTTATAATTAGTGATTTTATTACTACTTGGCAGTTTGGTTTTATAGAAGGTAGAGAAACAAGGGATAATGTGATTAAAACCTTAAATGCTACATACTTCGCTAAACATATCCCCTTCCACTCTGTGCTTCTCTCTATTGATGCTGAGAAAGCATTTGATAGGGTTAACTGGTTATTTATGTTGACCGTTGAAGACTCTGGGCTTTGGTATGGGATTTCTGACTTGGATACAGGCTATATACTTAAATCCAATAACAAGAATAGAACTACATTAATGCTTTCCATTGGGACAAGACAAGCTTGTCCCCTATTGCCCCTGCTTTTTGTGGGCTTTGGTATGGGATTTCTGACTTGGATACAGGCTATATACTTAAATCCAATAACAAGAATAGAACTACATTAATGCTTTCCATTGGGACAAGACAAGGTTGTCCCCTATTGCCCCTGCTTTTTGTCGTGGTTATGGAACCCCTGTTGTCTCTAATTAGACAGGCAGAAAACATTAGTGGGTTCACTTTTAAATCAAGAGGTAAAAATTGCAGCATATGCGGACGATGTACAATTGTTTGTAAAAGAAAAAATACTCATGCCCTCACTGTGTTAAAGTGTAAGCACCCAGGTCTTTGTCAAGCTTGACAAAGACCTGGGTGCAGGTCGAAACGTTGCTGTGCACTTGATGCTCCTGCTTACTCTTCAACACAGTGAATTCCTGAGCATTTTTTCTTTTACATACTATGCATGTGGGTTGTGCTGGCCCTAGCTCAGTTTAGCATCCTGTTGTTTTTTGGTTTAGTGCAGTCCCTATCTTTCTTCATATTATCTGATGTCCTATTGTTTATCTCAAATCCTGTAGTGTCTCTGGAAGGGATTTGTAAATGTCTATCTGAATACAGTTCTTACTCAGATTTCAAAGTTAATATTACTAAAAGTGAAGTTCTAAATATAAACCTATAAAATCATGATTTAGCACAGATACAATTATTATTTCACTTCAAGATAGGAACCTCAAATATTGAATATTTGGGTATTAATCTTAGTGTTAATCCTAGAGACTGGTATGATATTAATGATCTTTGTACAATAATTTCTATAAAATCGGATTTTACACATTGGTCTACTTCCCCAATTTCTTGGTTCAGAAAAGTAAGCACAGTCTCTATGAATATTCTCCCAAGAATTCTATATATTTTTCAGACTCTTCCCATTTGGATCCCAGACTCTTCCCATTTTTGAGTTTAAAAAAAATATTTGATAGGCAACCTATCGGGTCTCCTTTTACCTATTATAGATAATGTGAATGTCCCTCCTGCTAAAGAGTATGCTCGTTATTTTTTTTCAAATAAGATATCCGAGAACTTCAATGTTAGACTGAGAGATATTATTAATTTGGCAAACAGTGACTTACTGCCTAAAGAAACAATTATTGGTAGTGATTTTGTTCATAGAGGCTGTTTTCTTCTTTTTTTATCTTCAGTTACACTATAGCTTAAATTCATTAAAATCTAATATGGTATTCCCATGAAAAATTTGAAAGTTTGAGAGTTCATGAATGAGTAACATACCCTCTATCACAAATGTACAAACATCAGAGTGCTTAGAATTATCTCACATTTTTAGATTATGGGAAATAAACTTGAGTTTAGTCTTGGAACCGCAGGAATGGTTTAAATGCTTTAAATGAATAAAAAATGTTTTAAAAAAACTGTTTGAAAGCAGCTAAATGTCAAGAGCAA